AAATTAAACACACACCCACAAAGTAAACTCTGAAGGCCTCCATCACGTTGGAGAGGCAGTTCTCAAGATTTGTTACAAAGATCTTTCAACCCTTGTTTCATATCCCTCAACCTCCACCCATTTCACTCAAGGCACTAAAAATTGGCATTTACAAAGAAATTCCAGAAGCCTGAGCATTTTATTAGCAAAGGGAAATCCCAACCTTCTTGGCTTCATTTCTCATGATGACAGCTCATTTTTCCAAGTGGAACCACGTACTGGTTGCTGCAAATATTTAAAGAGGTAAAGAAGCTACTTTCAAACTAGTCATAAAAGAAATAAATAATGATGATTTAGAACCCTGTACTTACTTTATAAGCATAAAAAGTCAAGTACATCCATTTTTTAGACTAGAATGAAAAGTTTACAGTGTTCTTATGAAAAGACTCAGAGCCATGCCATGGGCATTCTCTTGGGCTCCTTAAGTGTCCCTGTTGTGGGTCAAGGGCTATTTTTGGAAAGTGAGTCTACCCACTGTGCCTCACAACTTGCTCGCCATCATTAACCTCTCCTCCTCTCCGAACCATCCTTCCAATCCTGTGCCTCCCTGAGGCCTAGAAGAAGCTTCAGCTCCATAAACCTCCTACCAATTTTCCCATTTCCAGCGATTCACTCCTCTCTGAAAACCTACAGCTTTTATGATTCAGGTCTCCTAATTTAACGACTGGTTATATCATCCTGGATAGCCTATTAATATCTATATTCTACAGGATTTGCATTCTGTCTTAATTATTGCCTGTGTGTAGTTTTTCTCCTCTGATGTGGGTTTTTTAGTTTCTTCAAGACAACGAGCATCCCGCATATTTCTCCAGTATCCCTTCCAGTATCTAACCCCAGTTCAAAGATGACCAAGTCAATTTAGAAACAGGAATTGGAAAATGTCACCCATATTAGGGGGAACATCTGTTAAGCCCCATGACTTTCTTTGGCCTCTGTGGGTTACCTGCAGGCTCCCTATTAAGTTTAGGAATGGAAGCCACTAGACAAGGACGGTATCTAACCACAGCCCAAAGAAACAGGCTAGGTCCTCCCCGCTTAGGTCATGCACAGACACTCAGCCGCCTGAGTCAAGCATTCTGGAAAGGATGCTCGGAAGAAATCTCTGTCTGCCTGATGGTCCTAGTGCAGCACAATGACCTTAAAGGCGTCCACGGAGGCTCTTCTGGGCCACGCTTATCCTTTCTCACTCCTGGGTTTTGCCCTCAATGGTCACAAACTCATTTGGCTGCAGACCTCCCAGACACGGGCTGGCTGAAATGTGATCATGCCCACGGGTCACCTGCCTTCTCTTTACGAGAGCATGAACATGATCTGCTGTCCCTCTTCCTCCTACCCCCCAGAAACACAAAGGGCCCTTTCTTTATCCTTCTTTCAGCCTCCCACAAAGACTAGCAGGCAAATTTGATGGGTGAAGGTTTAGGGTTATTCTCTAAGACAGACCACTCACTTTGGGTAAAGATTACAGTTTGGCTCACTGAACTGAATGTAAACAGTTTAGAACTTGTTTTTCTTGTAACAAGTGACACATGGGGATGCATACACATATACCAAAAATGAAAGCCTAAAGCACCCGGTGAAAAGCAAAATCCTCCCTACCCCACCCACCCCCCTCACCGACCCAATCCCAGTTCTATATCCCTCCTGAGAGACAGAAACTTAGTTGCAGATTATTTTGCCCTCCAGACCACATACACTTTTCTGCCTACTTCTCATTGTGTTTGCTTTTTTTTTAAATAAACCATAATTATATTATTGACTCATTCTTTACTTTCAATTAGCAATTTCTACATAATAATTTTCTCTTTTTTACTTTCCTGATAGCTCAGTTGGTAAAGAATCCATCTGCAATGCAAAAGACCCGGTTCAATTCCTGGGTTGGGAAGATCCACTGGAGAAGGGATCGGCTACCCACTCCAGTATTCCTGGGCTTCCCTGGTGGCTCAGCTGGTAAAGAATCCACCTGCAATGTGGGTTGGGAGACCTGGGTTGGGAAGATCCCTGGAGAAGAGAAAGGCAACCCACTACAGTATTCTGGCCTGGAGAATTCCATGGACTGCATAGTCCATGGGGTCCCAAAGAGTTGGACACAACTGAGAGACTTTCACTTTTTTTTTGCCTTTTAAAACATTTTTATATGACAATTTACATTTCACCTCCAATTACTTTTCAAAGGAAGGTCAGCAGTAGTGAATATCCCTCTTTATTTTTTTAATAATAATTTTCAATTTTAAAAATATTCAGAAGTCAGTAAAAGATGTCACACATGAAATAAAAGTTTGCACCAACAAAAATATCACTTTGCAGTCTGTCCTATTTGACTAGGTGAAATTTTAGACACAAGTAAAAATTCGCAGTGGTCACACAGAGAATAAGAGAGAACAAGCTGCTGCTTTTGTTTTACAATCATGCCGATATCATTTTCATCTAAAATCTACTGCTTAAAGGGAGAAATACATGTTGTTAGAGAGAGAAGGCCCTCACCACCCAGGTCTGTGCTCTGAAGACCATTTACAATGCCCAAGCAGGAGGTAGTCACCTTCCCAAGTAAAGCTTGTGGTGAGTCTGAATCTGCCTGCCAACCATAAGCTGAAGTCCTCTCAACTCCAGCATGGGTGTCTGTGATTAAGAAAGAGGTAGAAAGATGTACCAAGAATCTCCAGAATGCCAGGCCTAAAATGTGTGCCTTACAGGTGTGAGAACACTTAACCTTCACAACTTCATGAGGTAACACTACCTTCAGTTTTCAGCTGAGGAGCCTGGGGATTCAGGACAGGGAACAGACTTGCCCAAGGCCACAGACCCAGGTCCAAAGTTGCTTTCCCAAGCTACTGCCCGGACTGCTGTCTCATAAAATCAGACCTGCATCCACATTTCCTCTTTTGGAAAACCTGGGGTCTGGAATCAGGCTACTTGGGCACAAACACTGACTATACAACTTTGAGCTAGAAGAACTCAGGCCCAGGCAAGGGACTGGAGCTCCCTGGGTCTCAGTTTTTTCATCTGGAAAATGAGCCTGCCAATAATACCTACCACATAAGGGTTGCAGCAAGATTAAACAAAGCTCACATAATGAGCTTGGCACAGCACTTAACTTAAAGTAAATATTTCATAATGGTTAGCTCTTACTAACCTGCGGCTGATTAACAAGCTGGGGTTTGAAACGTTTTTCTTTTCTGCTTTTATTCCCTCCATCTTGCAGTGGAGAGATGATGCTTTGGGAAGCAATTTGAGGTGAAACTGGGGAGCCATCTGATACCATCTGGTCCTGTAATACCAATTTCTTTTGCTCTCCTCTCCCAAGCTTGCTCTTCTAACATTTCTTCCCTTTGCGCTAACTGCCAAAATCATAGCTTTTCAACTGCCAAATTCCAGAAGCTTTTAATAGTGTTATTACTGTGACTTTTTCCCCCTAAATCATGGAAATATTTCAGTTTTTATTTAAAAACTAGATTCCAGCAATACCCTCCCTACAGCCACCAGTTTATAAACCTAAAGTGTATGCTCCTATTATTTCCCCCTTGCCCCTGTTCATATATCATGGAAATCTAGACTGATTAAATTTCGCTAAAACAATTTTAGCTTGTACAAATGGAAGCTGCCCAATGGAATGGAAAAGGTGTTTGTGAACCTGGTCACACAAGTTACAAACCCGAATCGGCCTGGCTGGACAACATTTTCCATTTAACTGCCTTTTCCTTATTAACTGAAAGTCCATTGAGACCTAGAGACTGTCACATCACTTGGCCAACAAATGAGAAGATTGAAGGAAGTTTTCTTAGCGGAATGGCAGGGGCAAGAGGTCAACGAAGTCAGATGACCAACGTTGTCACTCCAGCCAAAGGTTACCTGGACAACTTCGGCCAAGTCACATTCTCTGAGTCTTAGTTAACTTACCTGAAGAATGAGGCGGCGAAATCCACTTTTTCCTAAAAACCCTCTCTCCTTAGAGCTCAAACTTCCTTTCAGCATAACAAGATTCTGCAATCATTCCACAAACACCTCCTCCAGTCTGGGCCTTATCAGGGCAGTAAGTTACATGTCATGATGTAGCCTCAGGAGATAAGCTTCAGCCAAGGGGAGGTATGTGTGTCCGCATGTGTATGTGCATGTGTGACGTGTTAGCCGTTAAGACATAGTCTCCACTTATTGCAAAAATGTGGTTGTGCCAAGCTGTCATATAATTCACAGCAAAGCAATAAAATCCAGGTTTACTTTTAATTACCCAATGTTAAATGACAGCCAAGCAAACCCATTAGGAGGGTGACATCGCTGACATGCATCAAACATCTTTCCATGTATTTCTCCCCTTCAACCACTCTGCTCCAAGTATCTGGAGCAGCTAGCACAAGACTGGAGCCTCAGCAGAGTTTATGAGCTGACCTTCTGTTACAATAGCATCACATATAATCCCACTGCTGTGTTCTTTTTCTCCATTTTCTCCTCTGGGAGACTTTGTCTCATAGTTCAGGCATCATCACTGGTTCCTCCAATCCAAAGGCTTGTATGATGAATAAGAAATGAGGAAGAACCCCAGGAATTAAGGGGGAATAAAGGTGCAGGCGGCAATAAATATTGCTGTTTTACCACAAAAGCCTTAACAGAATTTAAGTTTCCTAAACACCCAGATAAACCACGCTAACACATAATTCCTTAAAACCACTCTAAAAATGACATTCTGAGTCAGATTTGGAGGGATTTAGAAATGCTGAGGTATTTGACTCTTTTTGTTAAGATGTTTAATTTAACTGTTCCTTTCTCTACAAGGCACAGACATCAGAATTTTAAAAAAAAAAGTCATTTTTAGAAGCTATATACACAAACAGCAAGAACACGTCATTCACAAAAGCCACGCTGAGCCGGGCCCCAGAGCACTTCTGACTTCTGTAGTTGATTAACCCAGCACCTTATCAAGGTCCAAGGGAGGGTGTTTCTGCAGCCAGACGTGAGTCACAAGTACTTACATCACTCTTCCTGAACTTGGCCTTCAAGCTCTTCATGTTTAGTCCATTCAGCCCTCCACAGCTCTAGAGGACACCTTCAGCACCTAGCCAGAGAGAAAAAAAGAAATTAAGTATCAAGGTCTCCTGGCTCAGATGGTAAAGAATCCACCTATAATATAGGGGACCCAGGTTTGATCGCTCAGCTGGAAAGATCCCACGGAGAAGGGAATGGCAACTCACTCCAGTATTCTTGCCTGGAGAATCCCATGGACAGAGGAGCCTGGTGGACTACAGTCCATGGGGTCGCAAACAATCAGACATGACTGAGCAACTCAGATACACACTTCAAGGTTTCCAAACAAACAGTAAAGTGACTCCCTCCCAGCTGGACTAGGACTTTGGGCCACGGGTAAGCGTCTGGGTTTAAGTTAGGAAGGTGGTCAGGGTTAAGGGCTGGGAAGTGGTACAGAATGTTATGTTCTTCCCATTTGTGATACTCCTTTGAAGCGTCCAACATTTTCAAGTTAACTGAAACTTTTCATTTTCTTCCAACTCCTCATTCAAAGAAGAACAAGCTTAAGTAAAGGCTGGCCTGTCACTGCACAAAATTCAGTGCCTAACTCCCTCCTCTCCATCCCCTTCACAGTACAGTTATAGCCTCCACCTCCTCTGAAAGGGCCACAAGAGTGAAGCATACTGAAGCACAGCTCATATTCCAGATGCCATTCATTCCCTATTTATTTTTCTCAGTGTGTTTTTTCCCCCTCGTAGATGCACAGGGCAATGAGGGGAAAATGCAAGAAACAACAAAACCTCCCTCATCAAATACCTCATTCCTCAGGAAGCTACTCAAAACAGTGAAAGACTCTCCCCAGGTCCTCGTGGGACCCAGTGATTCCAATCCAGAGCTGGAAAAGTCTTAAGAAACCACCTCATTTCTGTGGTGCCTTTAGAAAATGAAGGTAAATTTTTGGAATGACAGTATATCTGTACTTTTTTTTTTTTTTGGCTGTGGCGGGTCTTAGATGAATCCTGCAGGATCTAGTTCCCTGACTAGGGGATCGAACTCAGGCCCCCTGCAATGGGATTGCAGAGTCTTCATCACTGGACCACCAGCAAAGTCCCTGTACTTTTTTCTGGGAAGAAAGTTCCTATTTTCATCAGATTCTGCAAAGGCATTTTCGCCCTTCAAAAGGTAAGACTATAGATCTAGTCGGAGCCCCTCATTTTCCAGAGGAAGAGATGGAATCTCAGAGTGAAGAAACCTGTTTGCATTCCCCACACCTCTGTATGATAAAATTCAGAACCAAAGTTGGACTGATGGGTAAATGCCTTTTCCACTGCCCTACAGCTTTAAAACTAAAACCAGAAAGTAAACTCCTGGGCTAAAACATGGCATGAATTTGATCTCTTCCATCTTGAAACCTGGAAAGTGTATGTTTAGGTCAAAAATGACAGAAAAATCTATGTGCAAGTTCTCATCACCTGGAAAGCACTCAAGAAATGTAACGTCAAGCCTCAGCTTACAAAGTGAGAACAGGGAACATAAAGAGGCCCGTCTATTTGAGGACTAAGGAACGATGGTCAGGTGTTGACCACAGTTGATCATTACCTTTCAAAAGCCTTTCAAGGTCATCATGTTCGTCCACCATCTTTATTCTGGACTAAACTGATCTGAGGAAACAGATGGCATGGTGGGGGGCAGGGTAGGAAATGCAGGCAACTGAATGGCTGGACCATTACTCTTGAGGTCTTTGTTGCCACCTCCAGAAGTGGTCCATTGGCTCCCTGGCTTCTAATTTGCTAATTTTTTACTTTCATTAATGCTGCTGCCCTGAAGCAGGACCCTTTGGATGGGTCACAAAGCACCTCGATGACATTAATCTGGAGGCCACACCATTCCTGTGGCCTCCCTGTGGTCCCTTTCAATCTTCCCAGCCTCAGCAGGAGTGACAGAATGTCTGTTGCCTTGGAAACCGCACACACTGTAATTACACCTTGTTAATTGCCATGTACTTAACCACAGAGAAGGCTGGGCTGGTACCTGAACGGCAAAGTATAAACTCTGAGGACAGTGCTTCTGGGTGGCCCCCCAACTTAATCTGAATCAGAAGAATCTGGGGACAGTTTGCTGAATGCAAAATTCCCTGGAAATTGAATCTCAAGGGCAGGGCCAAGGAATCTGCTTGGTTGACTCTGGCATACAAGTTTGAGAAGATCAGAAATGAGGTATGTGGAACTGGAAATATCCTTATCAAAGCTGTGCTGGTTTATGAAACAGCCCTTCATCATGTCAGAGCAACCATCTTTTGATGAATCCAAGTAGAAACCCTGAGAAGCAGATGTTCCCAACCTGACATCGGCTCACGGTTCTCCACCAAATGCAGCTAGAAGATGGAAATTGCCCTTGAAGTTCAATTCCTTCCACCCTACAGGTGAAGTGCTAATAACCAAGATAACAGGACAAATCCATGCGCCAGGAGAAGAAGCAAACAGAAACCCAGCCTTAGATAACCCACAAACTGTGTAACCCACCAAGGTGGAACCACCCAAAGCATTCTTTCAGGCAAGAACACAATGTCTCAGCCAAAGTTGGGTCAGATTTTTGTTTGAGGTCATGGGGCGCCTAGGGCCGGAGGTGGGGGAGCGTGTTGCATGGGTGTGGGTGCTAGTAGTTTGGTGTGTTTGTCTTTGTCTCCCCCCCCCCCCACCCCTCAGCATGGTAGTGAGAAGTATGCAAAGGATCATTTAAAGAAGATTAAGTAAATAAAGCAAGTAATTCCAAAAACTCCCAGGGGGAGGTATTAGCTGTGAAAATGAATATTTTTCTGGAAGCTCTGGGCATTTGAGAGCTGGGTGGTCCAAGGGTATAACTCTGGGATGACAGACATGGCGGTCAAGGGTTAAAAGGTTTAGAAACCCACAGAACAGTAACTAGAAACAAGAACTGTAGCTGGGGATAATTAAAATTAGTAACAAATCATTGCTTTCTGGGAATTGGTAAAAGGACCTAACTCCAGGACCTAATCCTAGAAGTCAGGATTTGTGGGAAGTCACCTGAGCTCCCTTTGCCTCAGTACCCCCTCTTCCCCAAAAGGACCCATGAGTCAATTGTGACTTGCCTTCCTTGGCTCAGCTGGAATCTTTCGGCTCCAATTCCCAGATTCAAACTTCCAAAGCCCAGACTGGATAAAGTGACATCTATCAACTTAGTGAAGCCACACTAACAGCAGTCCTTGGAAAAGTAACTTAAGGTGCTTAGGTCAAAAGAGCTGCGATAAAGCTGAATTAGCTGCATGGGAGTCTAATTTGGATGGTTCAAAAAGAGAAGGGCATGTTTCACATACACAGGAAAAGGTATTTGAATTAAATCCTCTCATTTCAAGCAGAAAAAAAGCCTGTCTACCCACTGAGCAAAAATGTTGGTCAGTTTACTCCATGCTCAACCCAAAATAAGTTAACGAGCATTGCTTCGTTGCCAGTTACCATGTGATGTCACTCCATCAGTGAGAATGGAATAGGGCAGGGAGGCACAGACTGTGGCCCTCTCATCTGAAAGACTAGATCCAACAAACAGGGTTTGTTAATCCATTTTCCCTTTAAAATAATGCAACTCTCAACCAAAGCTTAACACGAACTACCCTTATCGAATAGAATTTCTAGCCTGAATCAAAAAGCCTTGATGTTAGCCTATAGAGCTATACTGTGAACTAACAAGTTAGACGTCTTTGAGTATTAAAAACGACATAACAGATATAGAATTTTCCTTTTGGGGTGATGAAAATGTTCTACATTTATTACTATGTGGCTGTACAACCTGTGAGCACACCAAAAACCGATCAACTGTACCATTCAAATGGGTAAATTGAATAGGATGTGACTTATCTCCACAAAGAAGTTAATTCTTTAGCTGTTATTTTTTAAAATAGTTTAATAATCTTCATTACCTTCTCCAATCTGTAGAGCTAGGAAAATTTCAGGTTGAGAACCTCTGGATTAGTTGAAAATGAATTTTGAAGGAACAAAGGTTAATAAGCAATGCCCATAGTGCTAAAAGGTTCCTTGCTCCTAAATTCTCCTTAGCTATTTCTCTACCACAAGCCACCTCCAACCGAAATGTAATCATGAGGAAAAGAGAGGGAAAAAGTTCCTCTCCTCTATCACCAAACCACTCCTTCTCCCACTCACCCCCACTTCCACCTCTACATGTGACCCAAAGGTTATTGCATAAGACAATGCTGACAATTATGTCAGCACATAAGGGTCCTCTTGGAGCCCCCAGCCAGGTATTTAGATTCTGTAATGAGAAGCGAGGCTCAGAATTGGGTTTTCTTCTTTGTTTGTTTTTTGGTCATGGTCCACAGCATGTGGGATCTTAGCTCCCTGACCAGGGATTGAACTCACACCTACACTGGAAGTGCAGAGTCTTAACCACTGGACTGCAAAGGAAGTCTCTTGTAATTTTTTTTTTTAACTCACAAGGTGACTTGGATGCTCAATGAGATTGGGAACCACTGTTCTATACCTATCATACCACCTAATCATACCTATAATTGACGCTTTCATTAAAACTAATTTAGAGACACTGCATAAGTAGATATGATAGATCAGTATTTCTGAACATTGACTGAATCTTTCAAAATATTGTGGGTGGATGAGAGGGGAGCATTCTACATTAAAAGCTAAGAGAGAAACTAGCTGGTTACCATGGCCACTAAGAAACAATAACTCACAAAGGCAAATGGCAGCTATACACACATGTATCTTTTCCTGAATCACAGGGATATACTAGCATCCAAGATGCCATACCCCAGGATTCAAGGGCAGTGGTTTAAAATAGTTCCCTCTGAGTCATCATAGCACCAGAGGACCTGAGTGAATAACAGTGTCCTTGCTCTAACTAATCCCTCCGTCATGGAATGTGAGATACTTCCTTGGAATCTTCAGCAACACCAGAACACTAAATGTGCACCCCCAGACTGGCTTTGAGAATTTTTCTTCCAAGTAAAAAGTACTTGAGACTTAAAATCCAAAGCACTGGCGATGACACTGAACAA